AATGATCTAGTTGGGGATGCTCCTGCTTTGAGCAGCGGGTTGGACTAGATCTGACCTCCTGAGATCTTTTCCAACCTTCATTTTCTACGATGTTATGATTTATAAACCCTGTGGGTCTTAGTTTGGAGAGCTCCTAAGGTTATGATCCAATACATTTTGTGATGTCTGTGCCATATAAAAAGGGACTTTGCCAAACAAGGGAGGAGGAAACTAGTTAACTAAAAAATTAAAAACCCATCTGCTGAGATGGTTTGAAATCAACAGTGTAGGGATTTTAAAGTTATAAATCAAACCACATGTTATGTTCCAGTAGTTGTATTTTCTAAGCATTATTTCTGATGTGCAGTGAGTTTGCAGACAGTAATGTCTCTTGAGATCCATCTCTAGTCTTTCAGCACATAAAATGATGGTTTCTTGTCCAAAGTTTAAGTCAGAATTGTCTAACTGAAGTGTCTATGTCCTTATTGCTAACAAATGCCCACAATTCCCATTGTTTGGGTGCAAAGGCCTGATTCATTGCACTGTTCACTGGAGCCACACGGAGCCAAAAGAGTATTTTATGTCATCAATGAGTGCTCATCGGAGGAGCTTTCACATCCTGGTCTCCTAAGTCTTACTCTTCCTATTCTTTGGGTAGTTTTAACACGCTAGGTCAGTGATTTTCAACCTTTTTTCATTTGCAGACCCCTAAAAATGTTGAATGGATGTGCCAGACCCCTTTAAATTGTAAGTGAGGGTGTTCACATAGTTTTAATTAGAGATAGGGGCTGGTTTAAATTGTGAGCCCAGCTCACAGCACGGCAGCTCCTTTAATCCTGAAGTTCTCCCTGCCTCCAATTATGTCCTCTTCCTTCCATTACTGATTGGCAGAGGGGCCCCTTCGGTCATCCTACTCACTGCTTGCTCCTGTTGGCCAGGAGGGGTAAACTCTGGTTTTTGATATGCTGTGGTTTTTGCCTCCCACTGTGCAGCATATTTAAAACTGCGGTTTTCCCCTTCTGGCCATCAGGAGTAAGCAGTGGGGCCAGAGGGGCTGTTCCACCAATCAGCAGCAGCTGGAGGGTGTGCGGGGGGATCTCCAAGATTAAAGGAGCCACCGCACTGCAAGCTGGGCCTGTGATTTAAGCCAGGCCCTAATCATAGGCATCTTTCGTGGACCCGATAGACATAGTCTGTGGACCCCCAGGGGTCTGCAGACCACAGGTTGAAAACTGTTGTGGTAGGTGGGATACAGTTGTGTTTAATGGCATTCTTGCTGTTTTTTTAACATGTCTTTGCAGTGCTTGTTATGCCTCAGCAAACAGATGTTTCATGACAGTGTTACATTGTAAATATGCTTGCTTTAAATAAAATCTGAATCTTGGTATAACATTGCTGATTGCAGCATCCAATTTGTAGCAGTGCCATGTGAGCTGTTACGGTGCATTTTGAGAATAAGAATTCTTCACAAGATGCTATTAAACCTTAACATAAGGCTCTGGGAAGTGCTACAATAAGTTGCAAGTTGTTAGAGCAGGATGTGGCTAATTGGGTTTGTATTAGAGCAGGGATGAGCAAAATGGAGGGTCTGGCCAGCAGTCAAACTCCATTTCCCAACAGCCCCTGCTCGCGTCGCTGCAGCTGGTTTCCATGGAGACCCCGGCAGCGGTGATGCCATGACAGCAGGGCCAGGGTTTCCATGGACACCAGCCCCAGCAGCGCTGGCAGGGCACGCAGCTGGGTGGGGAGCTGCTCTGCGGCCAGGGCTGAGATCTTGCCACGGTAGGAGCGTGGTCCGGAGCCGGAGCAGAGCCACGATCTGCTGCTTGCATGTCCCTGCCTGGGGTATGCAGGCAGTGGGTCGCAGCTCTGCCCTGGCTACAGACCACACTGTCACCACTGCAAAATGAGGAGTTCCCTGACCAGTCACACATCCTGCCAGTGCTGCTGGGGCTGGTCTCCATGGAAACTCTTGCCTCATACTGTCATGACCCTGCCGCTGCTGTGGTCTCCATGGAAACTGGCTGCGGTGACACTGGAAGGGGCTGCTGGGAAATGGAGTGCGCTGTGGGCCCAATCCGGCCCATGCACCGAATGTTGCCTGCCCCAGCATTAGAGGGTCAAAAGAGTATCGGATGCATGTATAGGTTGGTCATTGGAGTTCAGAGATGCAGTTATAACATCCATCATTGGTTTGACAGGTCAAAAACCTGACAAAAAACCCATGAGAAGATTTTTTTTTTTCCCCCTTTTTAAAAATTTCTGCTGGTAAGAACAAAGTTCATGAAACAAAATGTTCAAAATCATAGCCCCTAACTGATTTCATATGTATTGCTCATTGCAGGCAGAGTGCAGTCCACACAAGCTCCACTCTCACCATTTGGGTGTCTTCCTCCCTTAGCACAAACCAAGATGGGCCAAACAGTGAGCAGAGGAAATACCTTCGGGTACTAGAATCACAGGCCTGATCAGTGCCTTTCAGCAGGGTTATTGTAGGCATAGATTGATTGATTGATTGATTCCACCTGGAACTAGAGGTTCTGGTCCTTTATGTCACTTTTAGTCTATGTAAATAGTCACGAAATGTCCCAGCATCTTTCTGAGAGTCGCACGTGTTCTGACTGTTTCAGGTGCGAGCAGCTCCTCCTCCCCCTACACAGCATCATCGCAGGACAACAGAGAAGATCGAGGACGTGGAAATTACTCTGGTGTAACGATGGGACTAGCTAAGTAGTAGTGCTACAATCAAGGCCAAATGTGGTGTTTGGTCAACCTCGTTTTTAGGCACCTTTGCATGATGAAGACTTTTAATAGATCAAGGAATAGGGAGGATTTCTTGTGACAGTGACATGCTGGATTCCTTCCCACCATCATGAATATTTTGTGCCTTTTTTGTTTTATATACATCATTCTTCCTCCCTTAGCACAAACCAAGATGGGCCAAACGGCAAGCAGAGGAGATGCCTTGGAGCAGGTTTCTCTTTTGGCTGAAGATAGTCAATTTTTATATGGAGGCTTCAGAGAGAGCCTCATTCATGCAACTTAGTCATAGCATACTTATACCATGTGCATTAGTACAGTATATTACTGTTGCCATAGGAATGTGTTAAAGATTGTCAATTCTTCAAGTAGCAGTACTTGTCTGATTAGATATTAATCAGATCTCATGGAATTACAAAAAAGGGAACAAAATGATAGGTTTAAAGAGAGGCTGGCTCCTCTTCAGTCCCCTTGATGAAGAAAAAAAAAAGGAAAATAATCTTATAGATAACAAAAAGTGCTGGAGACCACATGACACGAATGCACACCTCTTCAATAATTAACTGTTAAACAGAACTAAATGCTCTTTGTATTAATATTTATGCAGTTCATTTAGTAATAGAGTATCTAATATGGAGGTGCTGAATTAGTAGCAACATCTTGTTTCCATAGCATAAACCAACTGGTAGAGAAGTAAGTGAGATTTTTTTGTCTAGATCTGGAAATTTTGAGTTTCATTTCTTTTTCTTAGCAGATTTTTTTTTTCATTTTGGGATCACTTTTATCCCGGTTATTGCCGTGTACTTTATTATCCAACGTTAGCAGTATATCTTTGCCATCAAAACATCTGGCTAGAGTTAGAAGTTACATTTAGAATATTTACATGCATTATTTAGTTTCCGCATTGGATAGTCCTATAGCATTTCTCCCCGCAAACCCATTAACTAGCCAAAATCGGAGAACCAGGAAATCCCTGGCATAGCCCAGTCCTTCAGAGCTCCTTTAGGGCTGAAAGTAAGAGAGGGAATTGTGCTCTCAAAGTATTTTTGTGCAAGAAAGAGAGTTTGAGGACGTCAAGGCTAATTTCAAACTGGATTTCTCTGAGAAAGGAACTGTTGACATTTCAGAGAAATCGGGGTGTGTTGCGTTCTAACGTTAATTGCAATGGTAAGAAGAGTGGAGACACCCTTCCTTCCAGATGAAAACATTTGTTTCTATAAATATGATCACTAAATCATTCTGAAAATAGCAATACTTATCAATCAAAGCTTTGGTGAAAAGGCATCTACAACTTATTTAAGAGCTGTTATATGGGTTATATTGAATGCGCTCTTGTGTGTTCATTTTTTCCTATGTTGGTAAAGTAAGTTTCTACATTTAGTTAACTAACAAGGGCTATTTTTTTTTGAGGCTGCATTTACAAAATCATTGTACAAGATGTTATCATAAACTTTGCACATCCTTGTAAATCCCAACCCCATCTGGGGCTCTGAAATGTTAGTACTTGCCAATGTCTCTCTTCCCAGTGGGATTTTAACCAAGAGTGAGGCTGTTTGAAGAAAAAATTCATCGGCCAGTTGCTAAATCAGTGGCTGTCCATTGAAGATCCTTTTCTGTGTGTTTTCATTCTTTTGCACCTCTTGTCCTGTTGATCTGTTTGAGGTCTTTTTATGTGTTTATCAAACTTATTCTTAAGTTTAAAAAAAAGTTTTTAAAAAGATTTAGCTATTTGCAAAAAAAAAAACAAAAAAAAAGCTTCACAATGCAGAAGAAATTCAAGTATTGCCATAAACGATGTTCAAGTTCAATTTCTTTGGCCAGTTTTTCTCTGTCCTTCATAACAGACTTTCAGAATTCAGATAGTGTTATTTAAAATCTCTTTGGTTGTACTTTAAAATATTTTCTGTAAGAGCTGCTAATTTTATTTAAAAAAAAGAAAAGTTGTAAAAATATGCCTCCTTTTTAACTATGATTTCTTCATACAGGGCATGTATTCAACGTATCATCATGTACAGTGTCAGTACACTGAAGGCATTAGGTGCAAATGCTTTCTTTATATTGGCTGTAAAAAGTTTGTATTTATTATGTATAAAAATGTTGAATAATAATAAAAAAATGTGGAACTAACTCCCAAGAGCCTCTTGGTACCAAGCAGAGCTCCAAACATGGAAGAAACTTGTCTGGAAAGTTTGCATCAGATTTCCACCCAGAGCGAAGAGCAAAACTTCTCACATCTATTAGTCCTCTCAGTACCATCTTCCCAATGCAAGCAGTTATTTTGCATCTTGGTTCATTTTTCATGCAGCCCTTTCTGTTGCCAGTCAAACAGACGTCTAGGTTTGGATATAATCAGCAAATATATTTTAAACCAAGACTGTTAGAAATCAGCTCCTTCTGCCACACTGAGTCACGATAGCTGGGTCGTTTATCCCTGCTACAGTGGTATAATGGCTGGTGCTTACTGTAGCGTAAAACCTGCAGCTTCTTTCAGGCCAGACACTTTGTATAACATCAGCTACAGAAGACAAGGCCTGGATCACCGGAAGGAAAACTCCTTGTGGTTCACCTGCCGAGGAACAAGCTCTGGTGCCATCCCTGTGAGGTGCTGAGCTCTTGGAAAGATCATGGTGCCTGTTCTCCTGACATCACTGATCCTTTTGTGACAAGCAGACAAGACTGTTCTTTCAGACTCGGCTCTCATGACACAGGAGGCACAGTGGGAGAAATTAGCAGCTGGCCAAGCATCAAAGAACAAAACTGCTGAGGAAAGCAGGGTTTGCTGTCAAGCTTTGGCAAGGACATTTAATTCTCCAAGGACAGAGTCACAAAGCTCAGTGAGTAAAGAGAGGCAGTGAGTTGTGCTAGACTGAATTCAGGCAAAAGATACGGCAGGGTGACACCTTAGAGACTAACTGGTTCAGAGGCATGAGCTTGCACCTACAAAAACTCACACTTCTGAAACCAGGTAGTCTCTAAGGGGCCACACCACTGTCTTCTGTAAAACTCCAGTCTCATAGTTTCATAGTTTCTAGGGTTGGAAGGGACCTGAGCAGATCATCTAGTCCGACCCCCTGCCATGGCAGAAAGAGCACTGGGGTCAAATGACCCAGCAAGGTGGTCATCCAACCTCCTCTTAAAAACCCCCAGGGTGGGAGCCTGCACCACCTCACTTGGAAGCTGGTTCCAGACCCTAGCCGCCCTGACCGTGAAGTAGCGCCTCCTGATGTCCAACTTAAACCTTCCCTCCGCCAGCTTGTGACCGTTGTTCCTGGTCACTCCTTGCGG